CTCTATAAAGTTGTCAGTTCTATTTCCCCAAAGGCTTCTGGCTCTTCTCTGGGGTGGGATGAGGAGCACGGTGAGACCAGGAGGCACAACGCAGCTACTGCTGCTGGGCTGCCCAGTGTGCTCCAGGAAAGAGCGCGGGAGCCGCCCCCTGCCCTGCACAGAGCAAGGGGGCAGACCCCTGCCCCATGGAGCAAGGAGGCCGGTGCAGATGTTCTGCTGCAGCAAGCCAAGCAGCATGACCTTCCACCAGCCCGATGGGACCCCAGGCTTGCGCCAGAGAGACGGGCTACCTCGGCAGCAGTCCAATACAGACTGGCACAGAGGGGGCACGGCCCAGCAGAGCCAGGGCCACTGACACTTGGGACAGACAACGAGGACATGACACTGTGGTGAGGGGAGGGACAGCCCAATTCCTGCAGCTCTATCGCACCTCAGCCAGAAGCTCTGGTCCTTGCGGACGAGGAGCGCAGACAAGCGCTCCAGCCAGCTGGAGCATGTCACTGTGGGCACAGACTGCTCCTCCATGCGACCGGGCAGGAGGAGAAGGGCAGCCGGCGGCTCAGCCGTGGGCAGGCCTGGCCCAAGGCAGTGGAAAGCACTGCGGTCAACGCTGCCAGAGCAGCTATGCGAGAAACGCCGTCCGGCGTCTCTGCTATTTCCCCTGTGAGCAGCAGCCCCTCCCCACTGGCTGGGACTTGCTGGAGAAACAAATTCCACTGGTGAGGCCAGGGCCGGCACTGAAAGGAGGCCTGTTTTCCCTCGGTGGGAGGAGTGGGCACCAAGGGAGCAGCTGCTTTGAGCTACCTTTTGCCACAGCACCCCCAAGGAACTGTGCTTCTTTCATCTCCTAAAAATAACAGGCATGTGTGAAGGCTCAAGAGCCCCTTCACAGGCAGGGCCTGGCTCGGACACACACGCTCCCTTATGCCAGGAGCACGGGCCTGACGCAGGCCCCTCAAGGCAGCCACTTCTCCCCTCACCACGACGGCTCCCTGCTCCGTGCCTCCTGCAGCCTCTGGCAGGGGTATCGGGGCTGGAGCGGAGCAGAGGCTCTTCCAGGAAGGAGGGAACAGCGTGGAGCTGCTCCTTCCGAGAACGCCCGCGTGGGCTCCCAGCCGCCAGCTGCTGAGCACAAGGGAGGGAGCGAGCTCAGCCCAGGCAATGGAGCAGGGCCCAGCAGGTCCCCAGGGGCCCGGCTGTGTGCGTGGGAGAGCAGCGCTCCAGCACAGGCAGCCGCTGCGGTGGGGGAGGGACAGGCAGCACTGGCATGCGAAGGCCGTGCGCAGCCCTGGCCGCAGCCCTCCTGAACCTCCTGGCAGAAGCTGCCCCTGCCAGGTCAGAAGCCAGCTCCGTGGCAGCACCAAGGCCCCTTTCACCAAGACCCAGAAAGCTGCTTCCTTGGTGCAGAGGTGGGCACAGATGTTAGAACCTCTGAAACGCAGCAAGTGGAAGTGATTCGACCAGAACAGCATCTGCCAAGTGCCCCAAGGCTGTTCATGGGAACAGCCACAGCAGCAACCTCTGCCAAGGACTGGCTCAGCAGGCACCTCTGGCGTGGCAGTGACATCTGCCCTCCGCAAACCCCTCCTGCCCCAGAGCAGCTCCAGGAGGGCCACGACTCTCCCCGAGAGGAGGTGGCCTCATGAGCCATGGCTGCAATGGGAGCACATGCCAGGTGCCAGTGTGTCACAGATGGAGGAGTCAGATCACACTCAGTGCAGGTGTGAAGCAGGTGGCAGGACACCTCTATCCTAACAACAGAGGAGGTAACCGGAGGCACGGTTGGTGTGGTCGTCCACAGGAGGTCACCTGGGAGGCCTTTGGTGAGGACTGACACAAGGGACTGGGCCCCACACAGGCAGCAGGCAGGATACCTGCTGCTGCTGTGGGAAGGAGGCCACCCAGCACTGTGGGGCTACCTAGAAAAGTGCTTTATTCGAGTAAGGAGAACTGTTGCGCTGTGAGTCCATCCAAGCACCAGGCCTTGCCCCTCTGCCTGGCCCCTTCCAGTCTCTCTGAAGCTCTCAGTCTCTCCCCCCAAGCAGCACACGGATGCTGCTTACAGTCCTGCGCCCTTGGCTTGCGGCCAGCACTGCCAGCCGGCACCTGCAGCACCCAGCGTCAGGGCTCCGCTACTCCGTGGCCTCAGGGACGACACTCACCAGCAGAGTGTCGTAGCCTCGCCGCACCAATAAGGCCAGGTTCTGCTGTGTCCGTACTGCTTCGTACACGTCCTCTGCGCGGCGCGAAGCTTGTCCGTTGATCTCCAGCACAACATCACCTGCCTTCAGCCCTGCCCTGTGGGGAAGAGGAAGACAGGAGTGCACCGTGGGGGAAGCACACGCTCACAGCTTCGCCCTCCAAGGAAGGAGGGCCAGGCACTATGGTAAACTCGGGCTGTTATCCCAGCAGTTCCTCCAGCTGCACAGGCATCCTGGCCAAAGGGACCCCAAGCCTGGGCAAGAGTCTCCAGTCTGCTGCTTCTGCAGACTAGCCTCCAGGGCCCAATCCCTGCTCCTCTGGAGCAAAACGCTCAGAGCAGGTGCTAAATACATCTTGCATATTTGCTCCCTCATACCACCCCACCAGGTACAGGGCAGCACTTACTGATGTGCCGGGGAGCCAATGATCACCTTGTGGATCAGCACTCCATAGGAGACATCGGGGAAGCTGGGGTCACGCAGCTTCAGCTCAGCCAGAATGCTGCAGAGTGAAAACCAGCATCACAGTAAGGTGTCGGGAGGCAGAGCAGGGCTCCCCAGCCCAGCCATGACTGCACACAGTTGGAGAACACGGTGCAGAACGCCGCCTCCTGCATTCCTCCGTGCTGCTAAGCACAAGAGACAGACAGCAGAGGGCATTCAAACGCCACCATCTTCCTGTCAAAAACTAGCAGACAAAGGTCCTGGCTGCACCAGGGAAAGCTGGAAACTACCACAGCAGCTGCCAGCTGGATCACAGCTGCTGCTGATGCACTTCCTGTGTCTGAGCAGCCCCATGTCAGAGAGCTTTTCCTGGTATCAATCTACATCTCTTCTGCTGTAGTTTCATTTTTCTGTGACTGCTGTGGGTAGGACACAGAACAAAATTTATTCTCCTCTCTTTTTCCAGATGTGTCAAGCTGGAGTATACCTACATCTCTCCTCTGGAGTCTAGACTAAACAATGCCGGTCCCTCCAATCTTCCCTCAAGCTAGGTTTTCTATACCTCTGATTATTCTTGCTTCTCCTCTGGATTTTCTCCAATTGCTCCTCGCCCTACTTGAAAGCGTCCAGAACTGGGCGCAGCACTCCAGCTGGATCCTACCAGAGTAGAGGGACAGTGCATCTTTGCAAACAGACTCTGCACACAAACACTGTACACCAGCTCTGATCTACTGTAATCCCAGAAATTCCTAGAGCAACTGCCCAGCCCCTTGCTCCCCATCCCATACCCGTTCAGTCAATTATGACTCCCCACTTTGCACCTGCCCTTACTGGACTGTACCATACTTTTTCACAGACCTTTGCAAGCTACCACCCCTTCTTGGTTTGATGTGGTCTGTGCATTTACCAAGTCAAATCTGTGCCTTCACCTCACTCACTAACACCGAGCAACATATCCCCCTAAGCAGGTCTCTGTACAAAGATAATAAAGGCATGCTTTTGTGATTGTGGGCTGCAAAGCCTCTAAGAATGGCTGTACCAGATCAGTCAGATCAAGTGTCCATGTGCCTCAGCATCCTATCTCCTACAACACCAGCTGCAGATATGATAGTTCCCCAGATATGTACAACCTCAAGAAGTATCTGAGCTGTAATTCTATATCTTTATATTTGATAGCCACTAACAGGTCTTTCTTCTGTAAGTTTTTCTAGTTGCTCTTTTGAGCTCTCAATACTAGCAAGTTCTATCATACATCGCATGAAGAACCAACCCCATTTCTCTTCTGAATGTGTTGCTAGTACCAACCCCTCCTGACCAGCTATGCACTCCCATCAACTTCATGTAGACCCTGTTCCCACCAATCAGTATCACTTTCCTTTGCAGTTTTAAAAGTCCTCTACTCAGTCCCCAAAGCTCTGTGCTGTAAGATGGGATAGTGGGGGCTCAGGCCCTTCCCAGCTCTAGATCAATCATTATTTGAGCAGACGTTTCCCCAGCTCTCTTGATTTTCTCTTCTCTTTAAAGAGCCATCCAAATTTTAACAATGTCTTCTCATGGAAGGTGGGAAGTCCATGCTGGTTCTGCTGCTTGTTCTGGTTCAGGCTGCCAGAGGCACCCACTTTCACGCCGATGCCTTTCACAGCTTCAGGCACTATGGCTGTACCCGAGAACAGTGCTGAGGAGGTCAGACTGCTGCAATGAGGCGCAAGTGCACCTCTGCCCCTAAGCCTTCACTTGTAGGCTCCAGAGAAATTATCCCCAAACTGACAGGCACCTGCAGTCTAGCTAGACTGTACGGTGGGCAGGGACAGGAGCCAGCACCAGTGGCATCTCCACTCAGCAATCCTGGCTCCCCACTACGTGCGAGGAGGGTATGCCGGCAGCAAAGCCAAGTCCTTTGAGGTCTGCAGCCTTCTCTGGAGGAAGAGAAGTGCACGTGAGAATTGCTGAGTTCAGTCCAACTTGGGGGATTCAAGATCTCTTACTAACACTGAGCTCTCATGTGGCAGTACCCAAGCACATGCTTTCCACTGTTTCTGGTAAGCTTGGAAGCTGTGTTCCACCATGGAGGAAAATGCCCAGACCTCAGCTCTCCAGGTTCCTCAGCGGGATGAGCCACACAATCTGTGCAGCAGGATCAGCACTCTGAGAAACTCAGACCCACTACAGATCTCTCTCTCCCTCCTGTGCTAGGACATATTTCTGGCCTCTCACAAGAGCATGCTGAGACAGTGTAATTGCCCAGCTCCAAGGCAAACAATCTCTCTCAGACCATCTTCCCAGGGACTGAGCACAAAAAAACCCAGTGATCAGATATGGGTTACAAACTGAGGGCAAGGCTCCTTATCTTTCGGTTATAAGCTCTTCAGTATCTGTTGATGCATTCTTCCTAGGACCAGCTGTCAGACTGGGAGCTTGCTGGCTGCGCTGAGGCTGAATCCACTTTCCAGGAGCCCTATCCCAAGCATTTCATGCTCCTTCCCTGACAGACTTCGTCCTGCGCCCTTGTCCAGGGAAGGCAGGAGGAGGTCAGGCTCTCACACCCTACGAGACCCATCAGGTTTTGCTGAGTACCAGCACCATCTACCGGGCACACCAGCAATGCTGGCAGTGTATGCCCACCCTCCGACCCTGCCTGTAACTCAGGAGGAACATAGCACCTCCTGCCCCATTTGTGTCCCAGGCAGGGTCCCCAAAGACCACACGCGGGGTCCAGGGTTGCAGGTAGTCTGTAAACCTAACCAAACACACAAGAGCCAGCAGAACTTTAGCAAGGGCAGAGCACAGCCCTGAAAGGTGTTTCTGCAAAGCAGGCTGCTACCACCAACCCCATTATCATGCTGATCCCCAAGTGTCAGTTAAAGATCTCTTCAAGATAGCAGCAAGAGCCCAGAAACCAGAACAGACAGTCTGTCTTTGAAAAGGAGAATTGCTCAGAGGTGAGGATGTGGGTACAGCACTCTCCGAACACATACCCTTTGTCTATGAGGCTGCAGGCAGTGTTCAGGTGTGGCTCCTGCAACAACTCTCTCCCATGGCTTACAGCACCAAGAGCAGCTCTGTGCAGGCACAACAATGCTTGCAGGGCATCCGCTTAGGATGCTTGGTAAGGCTGCCAAGGCCACGGGCATATCTTGGAGACCAGCTGGACCACAGGCTCAGATAACGCTTGTAGCAGACCCAAGCAGGCTCTGTCTGCAGTTCTCTTTGCTGACTAGAGCGCCTCTTGAGATGCAGAGCAACACAATGCCCTTCCCAAGCCACAGCCATTGGGATGAACAGTCTCAGACTCACGAGTCTTCTTCCCACCTGCAGTGCTGTACGGGACAGCACCAAGATGATTTCCCTCCAGCCTTCCTCCTGATAACCAAGAGCCTCACCCTACACTTTGGCTGGCAGCCACTGTGTGTGCGAATACAACATGCTCTCCCACCTGCTCACCTTTTCCCTCAAGAAGTCAACTCTACTGCAGGCAAACTTACACTTTCGTATTCTGCAAGTCCCATATCTGAGAACAGTTTCTGCACCACAGCAATTTATCTGGTGGATCCTTCCTCCAAGACAGTACAACTTGCCCAACTTTTTCATCACAATTTTCATTCGGCACATAGCAAATGCATTACTCATTAAATGTTTTTGGTGGCTTTGCATTCAGGCTATGTTGTAAGAGTCCTGTTGAACTCCTCCAAACAAAAATGATATACTGGTGTGCCATTTTGTGTGGTGGATTTAGGGACTTTTTACCAGTTCACAGATTCTACCAGAGTGTGGAAATTTCCAAGCTTCCAATTTACCCCTGACATAGCCTATAGTCTAAACGCAAAACGAGCGCAAAAAGATTGGAGGACGTGCATGTTTAAGCGGTGAAGGCAATCCTTGCCTAAACAGATACACCCCGTTAGTTTAGAAGATCCCATCACACAGTCACCATGCTGCAAAAAGACCAGCCCACTGGCCCCGGGTCTCGGAACACATACCTTGGCGTCAGAGTCAACATCATCACCCCTATGTAACGGCGCTTTGTCTCTGCATTGCCAAACCAAGAGCCTGTCAAAGAAAAGCACATCAAATGACAAGGCTGAAAAAAAAAAACCCAGACTCCAGAACCATCTCTACAGCACTGGTTCAAGCCATCCGAGTCACAAAGGCCTCCCACCTCAAAGGATCTGTGCAGAGAGAGAGATTCTCCGATAGACACACTGTATTCACTGAATTCCCTCCCAACAGCTTATTTAAGTTCCACTTATCAGTTAGAGCTTTATCAGTACTGTATAATGCTGGGTTACTTTGGTAACCCAGCATTACTGGTTTTCTTGGTTGTGTTGCCAATTTTTCAACTCCAAATATCATTCCACAGTGCCAATAGGAAAAACAAAGAGATAGCAAGAATCCACATTAAATAAATGTACTACATACCCTCTGCGGCCCTACGGACAAGTTACTTGGGACTACAATTTAGAAGTCTTTATCTGCAGCAAATGCAGGCCAGCATCCTCCTAGCAGGTAGTTAGGCTTCTGTGGGCATGGGAGCAACAGCTCAGCTTTCCCTGGCAGAGAGGTGCTCACTGTTTCATGCTAGAGAAGAGAAACTTCTGACTCCCCCAAATTCTTTCTCCTGCTATGCTTGCCTGTCTCTCAAAAAAAGGGCCAAGAGCCCAGGTGTTTCCCTCTTTCGCCTCCTTCTGGCCTCCTTCCCCCAATACCTGAGCAGGGAGGCACCTAACTCACTTTTGCGCTGTTCCTCCTTTTGCAGGAACTTCCGCAGTCGGTCTGAGGGGATGGCAAAAGAGATGCCCGACGTCACCTTCATAGTGTTCACCCCAATCACCTCACCATCCTGCAGGGAAAGGGCACTGAACCAACAGCCTGCATCTTTGTGGAGAGGAAGGCAACCACTGTGCAAACCTGGTGTTCCACCTGCACACCCATCCCTTCCCAGTCTACTGCTTCCTCAGCCTGCCCTACCCGCCACGGCTGGGCAGGGACGGTCCTGCAGGCTGCAGTCCACGCAGCCCTTCCCTGGGCCTTGCAAGCCTCAGTGACGCTGGCCTCGGCTCTGCTATGCCAGGTCCGTCAGCTATGGCTGCACAAAGCAGATGCTGAACAGGGCCAAGCTGAGGCTCAGCAATAGACCCAGAGTTCCCACACTGGGCTGAGTGCCTGCTCACTTCCCACAGGGAGCTTGCAGGGTGCCCAGTCCCTCCCTTCTGAGGGCTGCAAACACCCTGCACAGCACTCACGTGGAGGGACGCCAAGCACCAGCACAGGCCCAGAGGGCAGACAGCACCTCTCTGCTGTAGCCAGTGAGGATACAAGCAGGAGAACTTACCAAGTTGACGAGGGGCCCCCCGGAGTTCCCAAACTGCAGCAGAAGAGAGAGCAGTAAACAGGCTGTGAGTGACATTCCCAAATGGCAGAACCCGAGCAAGGATGCAGAGTCCAGAAGACCCGGGTACAAGGTGAGAAGCACAGCCAGTGCCCTGGCGACTAACCAGAACCCCTTTCTCCTCCCGTCCTCTGTGTAAAGCCCCCTCCGACCTCCTGGCACACAGGGCCCTTCCCCAGCTACCCCCTCCCCAAAGGGGGCAGCTCTTGCTGAGGACAGAGATGAGGCGCCAGCCCGCTGTGCGCTACGCTCTCCTTACATCAATAGCAGCATCAGTCTGGATGTACTCCATGTCAGAGGTGGTCAGGCCCAGCTCCCGGCTGCCCCGCTGGGCAGAGCTCACAATGCCGGAGGTGATGGTGTTCTGCAGGGCGAACGGGCTGCCCATGGCCACGACAAACTCCCCTTGCCGCACCTCAGAGGAGCGCCCGAGGGGCAGGGTGGGCAGTGGGTGCTGGAAGAGAGGAAGAGGGTAAGCAGATGGCAGGGAACAAAGGGAGCGTCCCCACAGCAGCAATAGGCACCTTCGGCTTGATCTTGATGGTGGCGATGTCCGCAACCTGGTCCACATCCTGCACCACAGCATCATACTGTTCTCCGCTGGCCAGCTTCACCCGCACGCGCCGCCGGTTTGCCACCACGTGTGCATTAGTCACAATGAGCCCATCCGGTGACACCAGGAAGCCCGAGCCGTTAGAGATGGGCACATCACGGCCCGAAAAGGGGTGCCTGCAAGACGGGCATGGGTCACGAGGGGCTGGTGGGGACCACGGAGGGGCAGGGGCAGCAGGCTGGGGCCACGCAGACTCAGTGGCACAGGCTGGCGGGCCTGAAGAGAAGGCGGGGGGCAGTGACGAAGTGTCTGAGCAACAGTGCGATGGGGGAAACTCCTTCCCTTCCCTGGTGGAAGGTGCCTACCTCAAGCAACTGCACAAACACACAGGCAAGAGGGGAACAAACAGGAGGGATCCTGTCCATGCGCAGCCCCAGAGGTATGATCTCACTGGGATTACAGAGACGCAGCAGCATAGCTCACGTGACTGGAGAGTTGCAATGGATGATGCAGGCTCTTTAGGAAGGCCAGGCAGGGAAGGCAAGGAGGAGAGATCACGCTCTGAGCAATGTAGCAACTTTGCCTTGGAGCAGGCAACGAACCAGTTCGGAGCTTACAGGTAAGCATACTTTGGACAGGTGGAGAAAAGCTCATGATTGCAGGCCCTGGCACTGCTGGGGGACTTTAATCACCCTGACGTGTGCTGGAAGGGCAAAAAGGAAAACGTGGGCCTTCTGCCAAGTGGGGCAAGGGACTACTGATGCAAGAGATAGAAAGGGCTGAGGTACTCGGTGCATCTTTGCCTAGTTCCTCAGGCTTCCCAGGTTCCTGCGCCCAGGGGCGGAGCCTGTGGGCACGTAGCGTTATCCACGGTAGAGGAAGATCAAGTGAGGGACCACTGAGGCCAACTGAACATGCACAAGTCCACGGCACCAGACAGGATGCATCCGAGGGCGATGGCCAATGGCACTGTGAGGCTGTTCTCCATGCTCTTTAAAAGGTCATGGTGACTAGGGGAGGCTCCTGATGATTGAGAAAAGGCAAATGTCACACGAGTCTGCAAGAAGGACAAGACAGAAGGTCTAGAAAACTGCAGAGCAGTCATTCTCACCTCAGTCCCTGGGACACTTACGGAGCACATCCTCCTGAAAACTACTTCCAGGCACCCAATAGGCAAGAAACAGACTGGGAGCAGCCAGCACAGATTAACCAAGGACAAATCACACCTGATCAGCCTGATTGACTTCTGTGATGAGATAAGTGGCCATGTAGATACAGGCAGGGCAGCGGATACTGTTTATCTCAACTTTAAACGGCTTTCAGCATGGTCTCCTATGGTATCCTCACCACACAGGAGACATAGGGGATGGACAGCAGATAAGATGAAAGAAAGCTGGCTTGACCACCAAGGTCAGAGGTCAGTGGCACAGAGTCCATTTGGTGATCACTTACTAGTGGCGTCCCTCACAAACTCATAAAGGGGCCGATGCTGTTTAACATCTTTATTAACAAACTGAGTAACGGGAGAGCGCGCTCTGTCTGCAAGTTCACAGGCAACACCAAACCAGGGGCAGCGGTCAACATGCTGGAGGGCAGGGTTGCCATTCAGAGGGGCCACGACAGGCTGGAGACACAGGCTAGCAGGAACCTTATGGAGTTCAGCAAGGAGTAAATGCAAAGTCTTGCAGGCGAGACAGAGTAACATTGTGCTGCGGGACAGCCTGGGGCTGCCAGCTGGCGAGCAGCTTTGCCGAAACAGCCCTGGTAGATGACGAGGTGACGGCGCAGCAGCAGCAGGATGCCTCTGCGGTGAAAGCCG